AAATAGAATGTGCTTGCTGGAATGTCCCCACTTCCTGAGAAAGCTGGTGAAAGGGGGCTAAAAAGTTGGCATTTCCTCAGTGGGCACTTTTCTATCGAAAAGCTTGCCCCTAAAGGCAAGAACGCCCCTGGCTCTTATGTATGTGTGTGTGTGTGTGTGTGTGTGTGTGTGTGTGTGTTTTAAAAGCTTGTTAAAACATGGCTAACATATCAATGAGCTATCTGAGTGATGGGCTACCAGAAGCCTCCAAATTCTCATTTGGAATTTGGAAAACATGTTGTAAGCCCTTTCACAAAATGGCTGGCATCTCAAAACACCCATTTACCTGAATGCAAATGGGGGGGCTGTTCTTCATCCCTACTATCCTACACAATGCTCTTTACTTAGAACATTTTCTGTTAGAAGGAGGGGCACAGGCATATTTCCAAAACAAGCATTCAGCTGCGGCCACCCATCATTTTTTTAAATGCTTCTGAATGTATATAGGGTCTCCAGGCACCACCAGAAAGGCTAATCCATGGCTTTACAACATAACAACTTTCCACTGAACTCTTTTTGAAAAAGAAGACTTTTCCCCCCCCTCTTCTGTATTATTTCTCCAAATGACTCCATCTCCATTATTATTTCTAGGGAAGTAATATCACGTTATTATATAAATCATAATCAGGGAAAAAAATCAGGGGGAAAATATCCTTTTTTTTTTTTTTTTTAATGCCATACGCTAGGACAGGGACGTCAGGAGCACTGCGCTAGGTAGAAAAACAGTTTTGCTCGAATTAATCTATTTCTGCATTCCTCTTCTTGGCGGCTGAATCAGCACAAGCTGAACCACTTCCCGTTCAGACCAGATGAAACTTTGCAGCAAAACCAAGAATCAGCTTCCCACCCTGGCAGGCACCAGAGTTTCTCTCTCACTGCCCAAGCACCGTGACAATGTGACCAATCACAAGATGGGTTTGCCCCAATTCTTATCGCCTTCACAGCTACAATCCGCTTGCCTCTTATGCAACCGAAGGAACCGACGGACAGCAAGGCGGAAACAAGAAGAACGAAACTCCTTCAACCTGGTCTCTACCCTCCCTTTAAAGGTATTTGCTCTGATTGTTCCAGACCCAAAAAAGCAGCACCATTCAAGCAGGACTTTGGGGCAAATGCCAGTCTTCCATCTCGACCTACTTAGGGCACAGGGGAGCGGTCCTCCAAGGCAGCCGGTCTAGCTTAAAGCAACTGAAGGTTTTGAAGCTATCAAAACGAGAAGAGGCGGACATGCAGCATCTAAAATGACCTAATTGCACCACTGGGGTGAAGAGGGGTTCTTCTACAGTACATTTCTGCCACCGCTTAAACCAATCAAAGGGACAGTTCGGGCAACAGCAGTGCGCAGCCCAGATAGGGTGATCCAGCAGCACAGCATGCATTTCCAGGGTGAGGCTGCATACAGTGTGCTGGTTGATGGATTGTTTTCACATCTCATTTGTTTCCCATACATCACATTTGTATGGGAGGAGAGGACCATGAAAAGGAGAAGAGCAACGGTCAAGAGAGCCCCGTTTGTAGGAGGTTCGATGTCACAGAGACTTCAAGAAGGGGAGCGTGCTGTTCTCATTGTTCTCTACCTGTCTGGCTGTACACCATAAGCCTGCATTCTGCTCATAAACATGATATTTTGCAGGGCTCAACCTTCCCACTTCCCAGAATGTGAGTCCTTAAGAGTCTATCAAGCTTTCCACTGCTACTGGTTTCTACTTTCTGGAGAACTGGGGGGCCCTCTTCCTACCCACTTTCAACTGGACATATCAAACCAGATCACCTTTTCCCAATTTGGGGTGGCCCCAGTAGCTGGCTGGAAGAACATACCTGGCCAGAGGCAGATCATGTTCAATCTGCATCAGGATCTCTTTCAATCACAACCGTCTGAGTGGTCCTACTGGAGGACCCAATGGGTTACTTCATCTTTTTGTGTTTTACGGCTTTGCAATTAGCTTTCTGAGTTGTCCTCAAGACACAACAGCGGGACGGAAATTGGAAAACTATTGCACTCCCCCCAAATGCTACCACCCTTCCATACAAAAGTTTAGGATGATTCCAAGTGAAGTTCTGGTTCGGCAAGCAGCATTTCTCTTTGGAATGTTATAGAGGAGATCCTCCCAGACTCCCTAGATGTAGGACTATGTTGTATTTTCCAAAGAGAGGAAGGAGAATCTATTCAAAGAGGGAAAAGTAGATCCATTCCACAACCTATTAAGCTTAGCCCACATCCCTGGAAGCCCCCAATTAACACCAGCACTCAAGTGGGCCAAGACTGGAATATCATATAATTGTCCCAGAAGCCCAGCCCGAGGCTGGGACCCTGCTCTTGAACCGTCTCCTCTTGCCGGGTTCCACAATTCACCCCCAAAGAATGCTTTTTTCACTGCGGCGCCCCCAGCAACAGGAAAGGGTTGGAAGAGGCTGGCTCCAGCGAGCTGGTCAATTGTGGCTGACGATGAAGAAGCCCCGAGTCGAGCTGGCCTCCTGGCGAGGGTTTGCAGGGTCGGATCGGGGGATAGGTCCTTCCAGCCCAGCCGGGCGCTCCCTCCAGTCCGTTTCGCCAGGGGGGCTTTTTCTCCCCTTCCCGCGAGCCTGTTTCTGTCTTCAGCCCGACGCGTCACGCTCCCCATCCCACGCCGGTTGAAGCGCCTTGCCTAAACAGAGCCCCCCAAATGTCCCCTCGAAACCGGCAGGCCAATCAGCCCGTTCGCCGCCCGAACCCCTGGAATCCAACCCAACCCGGGGCGGGCCTGGCCTGGGGAGAAAAAAGGCCCGCCACACCTCC